AGCGGCTCAGCGCGGGCAGCATGGCGGCGCCACCGACCTCCGGCTGGGCGCCGCCATGGACCTGACCCCTGACCCGGCAGCGGATGCAGGGCGTCGGCTCCGGCCTGGGCGGGGCAGGGGCATGACGGGAAATGTAGTTCTTTCCGGCCACCGACTGGTGGGCGAGGCTCCGTGGAGCGGGCCAGGCCAGGCCCCGCCCCCTGGGTCTCTGTCTCATCAGACCCCCACTCCCGCCTCCTTCCCCTCGTCTGCCCCACGGCTCAGGGCCGGGCTCTTGCTGCCCCCCAGGCCTGCCCCACGGCTCAGGGCCGGGCTCCTGCTGCCCCCGGGCCTGTCCCACGGCTGGGCTCTTGCTGCCCCCCGGGCCTGCCCCACTCCTGAGGGCCGGGCTCTAGCTGCCCCCCCGGGCCTGCCCCACTCCTGAGGGCCGGGCTCCTGTTGCCGCCCCACTTCTCAGGGCTCGGCTCCTGCTGCCCCCCGGGCCTGCCCCAGTGCTGAGGGCCGGGCTCCTACTTCCCTCAGGCGTTCCCCACTGTTCAGGGCCCAGGTCCTGCTGCCCCACCACCCCTGGCCTGGCCCACCACTCAGAGCCAGGCTCCCCCTGCCCCCCGGGCCTGCCCCAGTGCTCAGGGCTGGTGACCGTGGCTCCTCAGAGAGAAGCAGCCCAAGGACCACACAAAACTGGTGGGAAAACCAAGGCAGGCAAGAGTGACAAAGGGCGGGACCGGTGTCCGACAGAGGGCAAGATGCTGCAGTGCATCACCCCGGCAACATGAGCCACCACAAGCACACCATGCCTGGCCTCCGCCCTACCCTGGCTCCCTATGGAATTGCCAGTCCCGGACATGGGCTTGGGCCTTATCGTCTAGGTCAGTGGTTTTTGGCCCGCAGGCCACTTGTGGCCCAGTCAGCACAGCTGCGGCCCAGTCAGCACAGCTGTGGCCCATGTGACGTCCTCAGGGCCATAACTAGGGCAGGAGGGGCACCTGTCCTGGTCGCAGAGCCAGCGGGCTGCGTGTATGTGCAAAAATGGGGTAGTGCAGGATTGGGCCCACCGACACCAGCTCCTCTGCCAGGATCAGGCCCAGCAGCACCAGCCCCCCCCCCCACTCCCAGCAGGGTCGGGCCCAGCAGCATCTGCAGGAGGCCACGGTGCTCAGCGCCCCCTGTCCCTACAGGATCGTGGGTCCGGTGATCCTGGCTAGACCGGGCTCCCTGGCACTAGGACTACAGCGACAGGCAGGCTGCAAGGCAGAGCTACCTGCAGTCACGGTAGGAGACCACCAGGTATGGGGAGGGGGGTGCAGGGAGCTAGGGCTGCAGGGAGGGAGTGCAGCCTGTACATCTGGGACAGACTCTAGGTGGGGGGACTGGTGGCAGTCCCTGTGGGGGGGCTAGATACTGGGGCACAGTCCCTGGATGGGAGGATTGAGTGCTGGGGGGCTGTCCTTGTGGGGACTGGGTGCTGGGGGCAGTTCCTGGAGGGGCCATTCTGCTCTGGACAGGCACATGTGCCAGCCCAGTGTTGGGGGGTCTGGATGCTGGGGGGACAGTCCCTGTCTGGGGAGGAGCTGGAGGGCAGTCCCTGGGTGGAGGCGCTGGGTGCATAGGGGACAGTCCCTGGCTGAGGGGGCAGCCCACATGGGGCAGGGCTCCCCATCTTTGCAGGCAAGCTCTACAGCCATGCTCTCCGGGTACTCAGCTCAGCCACGCTACTTCCAGTAGCAGTGTGGAAGTGAAGGTGGCAATACATTGTGCCATGCCACCGTTACAGTAAATGAATTAATTTTAACACTTAGTTTGCTAATTTAAAATGCTCTTGGTAGACATTTGCAAGTGGTGAAATGAAAGATACTATGTTGATTTTAATCGTATTGCTGTCATAATAATACTAAATCGTATTATTTTTGTAGGTGTACAGGTAAGTATATATATTGTGTGGATGCGACCCACATAACACAGAAAGAACTATATATGCAGCCCACAATGATAAATAGGTTGACAACCACTGGTCTAGGTGTTCCAGGGCCTGGGCACCAAAAAGAGCTTAAAGCCTAGTGGTTGGCAGCATTGCGCCTCTGACACAACAGAGCACTCTGCAAGCAGGATAAAGTGTCTCTGTGCAGGAGATGAATAGGGTTGTCAGGTGTCTGGTTTTCGACCGGAACACTTGGTTGAAAAGGGACCCTGGTGGCTCCAGTCAGCACAGCTGACTGGGCCGCTAAAAGTCCAGTTGGCCGCAGTGCCAGCAAGGCAGGCAGGCTCCATGCCTGGCTCTGTGTGACTCCCGGGAAGTGGCCAGCATGTCCCTCTGGCTCCTAGGTGGAGGGGCGGCCCGGGGGGCTCTGCAGGCTACCCCCGCTTGCAGGTGTCCCCCTGAGTGCTGGCCAGACAAACAAACAAACAAACAAACCCCTATCAAAACAAAACACTCCAGTGCTAACACACATCACCCCCTGGGGAGAGGATGAGATAAAGAACAAACCACATGTGACAGAGGGGTAGTCACATCACTTAATGCACTGCTGGGAGGTGCTCAGATACTACAGTTATGAGGATGACAGAAGAACCTTTATACAATACAATATAATGCCTTCATATAAATTATTCGTGTAGCCTCCTCTGGAGGCTGCATGCAGTACTGATTACCTCATCTCAGGAGATTCCAGAAATGGAAGGGGTTCAGAGAAGAGAAGAAGAAAAGAGGATTCAGTGATGAAAATGATCAAAGGGCCTGAAAAAACTCTTCTGTGAAGGGAAATTGAAAAGACTGGGATTTTTACCATAGAAAGGCAATTAACATGATAAAAGTATATTAAATATTGAATAGTATAGTGAGTAAAAAGAAAAGGAGTAATTGTGGCACCTTAGAGACTAACCAATTTATTTGAGCATGAGCTTTCGTGAGCTACAGCTCACTGTAGCTCACGAAAGCTCATGCTCAAATAAATTGGTTAGTCTCTAAGGTGCCACAATTACTCCTTTTCTTTTTGCGAATACAGACTAACACGGCTGTTACTCTGAAACCTGTCAGTATAGTGAGTGTAGATCAGGAGTTTTTGTCCTCCCTGAGTTCTTGTAATGCAAGAACAAGGGGGCAGTCACTGAAACTGAGAGGAGGGCAATTCAAAATTGATAAAAAGAAATACTTTTGCACACAATGTGTATTTTGGCTGTGGAACTCATTGCCACAGGCAGTTGTGGTGGCCAAGAATTCAGCAAGATTCAAAAAAGGTTTTGACATTTATATGAAGAAGAGTATCCAGAATTATCATAATTAATGCTAAAAAATTGTGGAAGGGATATTATACCTCGTGATTCAGGGTTTAAGCCAATCTCTGACTAGGAGATCTAATGTGGGAAGTAGATTATCCCGTATCTGCTACTCCAGGATTCTTACATGTCTTGCCGCTGTCAGAGACATAATACTGGACACTAGCCGGACCCTTGGTCTGATCTCGTCTGGCAATTGCTAAATTCTTATAACTACAGATTTCCTCCTCATGCAAGATCATTAGAATCAGTAAGTCTGATCCTATTTCCACCCATTTTATACTGGTGTAACTCCATTGCCTTCTGTAGAGTTATTTCTGATTTGTATCAACAAAAGGAAAATTAGGCCAGTTGTTTTCAGTGGACTTGAACACGGTATAACTCAGGGCAGAATTCAGCCCCCAGTTTACACTAAGCTAATAAACAGCCAGATTCTGATCTCAGTTACACTGGCTTGAATCCAGAGTACACCCCCAGCATGTGCCCCTCCCCTCAAAGTCACTGGAGTTACCCTGGTTTTATACTGATGCAGTTGAGAGCAAAATATGGCTCTAAATTTGTAAGTTGTTGGGGGAATCTGTGTGGATGCAAGGTGCTATTAAATTGGCTTGGAAATATGAGGGTGTTATTTCTCAGAAATGTTGAAATCTTGTTCCAAGAATATTTGCCTCATTTTAATTGACATATTTTTGCATGAGCAGCAAATTAAAACAATCCTTCATTACCAACTTTTTTTGATTCTTCAAGCAATCAGTATAGAGGCTGAGATTCCCAGCTGACTTAGAATAAACCGTATTTGATCACTGTAATTCATATTCATTTCAGTGTAACTGCCACATAGAACGGATAGCAAAACAGAGAAGTTGTCAGTGAGTGAAACTCTCGGTATGTATTTAAACTCTGTGTACATGTTGATTGACAGGGGACTTATGCACATTTGGTTTTGGGTGGAAGAATTCATACCTATGTTTTCCAGTTACAATCTGTACGCTCCTTACAGCTATTATGACTTCGTTTCTGTGTGCTGCACCTTTAATGACATTACTTCACTGCTGCAGAAGCAGCTGCCGATTCATGGCAGATGTAGCCTGCTACAGACAAAAGATACCCTCTTTGGGCTGTCTTAGGTATGTCTATGAACCCCATTACATAGTATCTTCACAATCTCTAATGTATTTAGCCTCACAACACCCCAATAGGGCAGTGCTATTATTTGTACAGAGAGGAAACTGTGTCACTGAGAGACTAAGTGAAATTGCCCAAGGTCACGCAGGAAGGGCTTTAACCTGGGTCTCCCAAGTCCCAGACTAGCACTCTAGCCCTTAGATCTCATTTCCTTTTGTTATCTTCCCAAGAAACTTACCTTTGCTCTTTCTTATTTTCTTAATATGAATGTGGGAATGTTGCCTTTTGTGAAAAAAACTAACACCATCAAACATTTCCAAGGTTACATGTAACCCTGATATTTATATCTCTGTGAATAAAGGGCTGTGCATAGGATGTTTTCTCACATTTTGAATCAAGTTTGGCAGAATATTCCAGCACTGAGCCAGAAGGCTGAACTACCCAGAAAGCAATGGCAGGGATTACCAATAAAGGGCTTTGTGACCCGACTCTTGTTTAAAAATCAGTGCGTGCTTAAAACTTGTTTATGGGGCTGGAGATTTGTTTATTTTTATTTTTTTAAGACACGGGTAAGGACATAAATGTGGATGGAATTGTGTATGTAGCAAAATAAAAGTATTTTATTCAACATGGTGGAGTTACACCAGTGCGTAAAGAACTCCAGACAGGGCCTCGTTCTGGTCGGGTGATGGGTCAGGGACATTTCTCAAGCATTACACCATTATCCACATTCCCAGCATTTGAGTGCAGTCAGCCAAGATGTTCATAAGAATTCTTTAACGATCAGATACATGGAATCTACAGACACACCATCATGTTGCAAAGGAAACGACTGAAAAGCCAGTGGGGCTGGCAAGCATTTCGGAAAGAGTCTGTGGAAGGGCTCACTTCTTCTTCTGGAGTTGTCTTGCCAGCATGTCAGCCTGTTTGGCAACAAAGACAATTTTTTAAAAAAAATCCCACAATTTATTGGGCCTGATTCTCCATTTGATCGCATTTGATTGATCTCAGACCATCTAGCACAGTGGAGTTGTAATCCACAGTCAGGGCCTGAACCACTGCAGTATAAATAATAATTTTCCCAGTCTTTTAAATGCTGAATGGTTTTCTGTCTAAGCGGGCACTCCACCCATTATGTCTGGCTTATCATCCCTGCCTTTCATTACACCTTCAAATCCCTCCTTTCAAGGTTTACATCTTCCAATTAACTTTCTACCACTCACCTACACACCTACCCCTCTTGCCTGACTGTGCTCCCTAAAAAATCATTATTAATATTATATGTATATTAAGGAAACAACAGAGGCCACATTCAGATACCTCTGTGATAGGAGCAATGTAAGAACTTGAATAACCTGGATGTCTTATCTCTTGAGCTCTTCCTATCCTAACACTTGTCCTGGCCATGATTCTGAACTTTTCACAGGAGATGCCCAGCATCTTGCTAGATCTTTAAGTTCTTTTGGGCAGGCAGCTGTGTTTGTTTTTTTTTGTCTTTAAAAGCCTTTGGCATTAGAGATAGAAAATACTTCTAATCATCGACAATAGAGGATTGTTCGCTACTGCCCCACTTTTGCCTCCTCTGCTAAATGCTGAAGCACTCTGGTAGCTCCTGGAGAAGGTTGCATGTTCTTACCAGCAGAGCGTTCACAATGGTTTTCCTTGGGCTTCTCAGATAAGCACACTCTTCCCCATCACACAGTTTGATTTCTTCTGAAGCCTGAACTCACAAACAAAACAAATACATTTCGGGGATTGGGTGGCTACGTGGTCTTTTATCCCTAAATTAAATTCAGCCCTGCTCTGTCACAAAAACACTTATATTCACAGCTGGGGGAAAGAAACAAGGGATGTAAACCCTCATGCTGTGGGGTATAAGCCTGAATAAGCAGACGACAAACTTCCCCCTATGGACTGGTTATTACATAATTGTCCAATAGAGAGTGGCTTGTACTTTCCTCTGAAGCCATTATGAGAGTCAGGATATTAGACTAGAATGAGTGACCAGTCTGATCCGATACAGTAATTCCTATAACTCTAGAAGTGGAAGCGTTACCATCCGATGGCTGTTTGGTGTCCTGTGTGAAATGAGTTAGTAACCTCCGTGCAGCTCCTAGCAGACCAGGGCCCGCAGTGTATTTTTCTGTTAACAGAGCTATGCGTTAGCTCATATTTCTCTGTTACCTCTTCAAGGCTTTCCAATGTGCATGTAATTTGCTGAGCTATAATGTCTGGATATTGGATGGTGACAAAATTCAGTCAATGTATATTAAGGGGGGAAAAGTCCCCCAAACTGCTCAAGTCAAGATGGAACCCTTCTCCACATGGATATGCCTTGAAGAGCAGCTGACATGCTGCAGGAAAGGAGGAAATGGTGCATGCCTTAAAGCTAGCATGTGAAAGCACTAAAGGCTGTCCAGCTTTGACCTGCTCCCAGTTGTCGTCTCTTCCCAGTTGCGTCTGTTAAGATGCTCCATCTGTGCAGATCAGAAGAACCCTGAGCCTTGGGACAGTTCGTATCCTGATCTGTGTCTGAAGGTCGTGTGCTCTGGGTGGTGAGCACAGGGCTGGGAAGTGGTGACGAAATGTTGATCTCTATGTATGCCAGCATTTTCATTAAGGTCTTGATCCTGAGAGGTGCTGAGCACCCACAATTCCCACTGGATCCCATGGGGATGCTCAGCACCTCCCAGGATCAGTCCTTAAATTAGGGCTGCAGAACAAGATGCATTTAGAACGTACTGTGGGCTTTAAAGTAATATGGAAGATCCCCCTACAGAAAGGCTGGAACTCACCTCTGGAGTCTGTGACAAATCTAGTTCTCTTTTCCCTCCGGGATACCAGCCGTGAGACCAGTGCTGAGCTCTTGACAGGTGGGTACTGACTACTAGCACTACAAAGAGCAAGAGCAGGAGAGGTCGTTGACGTGCCATGGCACTGTCTGGCTGAATGGGGAGATCCTGCAAGGAGAAGGGAGGAGAGAGTCAGACATGGCCTGGGAGCAGTCAGCAGAGGGAAAGGTCCCACAGCATGCGTGATTCTAGAGCCGTAGGGCAGGCAGTGCCTCATTTCCTAGCATGCAGTGCAGGGTGCACACAGGCAGCATGGCCTGGTGGGAAGAGATGGGAACAGGGAGCCTGGACTCCTGGGTTCTCTTCCCAGCTCTCCCGCTGGGTGACCCTGGGCAGGTTACTTTGTGTCTGTGTTCCTCACCTGTATAATGGGGATAACGCTCACCTGCCTTGCAGGGTGGTTCTGAAGCCCAACTGGTTAACATCAGTAACAGGCTATGGGGCCCTCAGATGAAAGGCACTTGGCTTCTAAAGGGACTAAGGGTAGCATTAGCTCAAGACCGATAGGCAGATCTGGCCAAAAGAGCTAATGTGATCTGGGATACATAAACCGGGGACTCACGAGTAGGAGTAGAGAGATTATTTTACCTCTCTATTTGGCACTGGTGCAGGACTACTATATCCAGTTCTGGTACCCACCCATTCAGGAATTATGTTGATACATTGGAAAGGGTTCAGAGAAGAGCCACGAGAATGATTAAAGGATTAGAAAACCTGCCTTATAGCAATAGACTCAAGGAGTTCAATTTATTTAGCTTAACAAAGAGAAGGTTAAGGGATGACTTGATACAGCCTATAACAGGGGTGGCCAAACGTATACAAACCTATAACAGCCTATAACAGGGGTCACCAAATGTTATACAGCCTATAACAGGGGTGGCCAAACATACTGATCCTCCGAGCCACATATGACAGTCTTCAGAAGTTTGAGAGCTGGGGGGGTGCCTGCCAGGGCTCGGGGCTTCAGCCTTGAGGGGCAGGGGGTCTTAGGGCTTCAGCACTGTGGGACGTGCCTGCCAGGGCTCGGGATTTCGGCCTTGTGCGGAGGGGGGGTCTTGGGGCTTCAGCCCTGAGGGAGATGTCTGTTGGGGATTGGGGCTGAAGCCCTGAGTCCCGGCAGGTGCAACCTGCAGGGCTGAAGCCCTGAGGACCTCCCCCCCCCCCCCACGCTGGACAGAAGCCAGAGGTGACATTTGGCAGAGAGATGTGGGATCTTGTGCCCCTCCCCAATTTTTGCCAGGGTTTGTTGGGCCTGCTTGGTCACATGGTGCTGCTGGGCCCCCTCTCTGCACGGCAGCTGCTGGAGCCAGCAAGCTGGGAGGTGCAGCTGTGCAGAGAGGCAGCAGCAAACAGCTGAGAGCTGCTAGGAGAACTGCTGCTTTTGCTGCTGCCCCTCCCTCCAGGGAGGGACCACTAAGGGTATGAGGTGTGTGCGCCTGCGGGGGGCATGACTCAAGCTGTGGGGGGGCCCAAACCTTTATATTGTGCCCCTCCTCAGCAGGCACCAGTCGTCTCTGGCAGAAGCTCCTAGCCCCACCACCCTGCCGCAGGGCAGAAGCCCTGAGCTCTCCCCCCAGTGTGGTAGGCAGAGAATGGGGAGCTCTGTAAAAGAGCCGCAGTTTGGCCACCCCTGGTTTATAAGTACCTACGTGGGGAGCGAATATTTGACAATGGGCTCTTCAGACTAACAGAGAAAGGTGTAACATGATCCAATGGCTGGAAGTTGGAGCTAGACAAATTCAGACTGGAAATCAGATGTAAATTTTTCACAGTGAGGGTAATTAACATTTGGAACATTCTCCATCACTGACAAATTTTAAGTCAAGATTGGATGTTTTTCTAGAAGATTTGCTCTAGGAATTATTTTTCGGGGGATGTTCCCTGTTCTGTGTTCTACAGGAGGTCAGATGAGATGATCGCAGTGGTCCGTTCTGGCCTTAGACTCTCTTAATCTGATGGCACTCCCTGCCTGTGCTGCCTTCTCCGGGATGTCACCTCATTGCATCTCCTTAAGTCCTGCCTTCAACTAAGCAGTCATGGAAGAGACTGATGACTGCACTAAAACTTACACCAGTGTAAAGCAAAATGGGTCTACTCTGGATTTACACTGGTCTCTCTGAAACCCCACTGGGTCAGTGGCATTACTCTGGATTTACACTCACGTAACAGAGAGCAGGACTGGGCCCATAGTGTGGTGGAGTTTGCACTAGCTGGGGAAAGGGAGGAGTTGCTGAACCAAGAGGTCTTTCCCCAGGATTCTGTGGTGCAGATTTAAGAGAGCAGGGCAAAGCGAAAAGCTCTGAACGTGCTCCACTGAAACTGGATGGCCAAGCCCTGCAGTCAGCTTTGCTCCCTGTGTTAGAACAGTTTGCAACGGACTCTGGTGCTATCCCTTTGTCGGCAGCTACCTGCATTTGTTAGGTGGAGCTAACCTAAGTGCCAATCCATCATCCCCTCTCTCATACTGGTCAATGGCACAGTAGAACCTCAGAGTTACGAAAACCAGAGTTTCGAACTGACCAGTCAACCACACCTCTCATTTGGAACCGGACGTATGCAATCAGGCAGCAGTAGAGAAAAAAAAAGCAAATACAGTACAGTGCTGTGTTAAATGCAAACTACTGAAAAAATAAAGGGAAAGTAGCATTTTTCTTCTGCATAGTAAAGTTTCAAAGCTGTATTAAGTCAATGTTCAGTTGTAAACTTTTGAAAGAACCACCATGATGTTTTGTTCAGCGTTATGAACAACCTCCATTCCCGAGGTGTTCGTAACTGAGGTTCTACTGTATTCTCAAGCCACTGAGCACAATGTGAGCAGTGTTTGTGATTTTATCGATATCCTAAATCTGGGAAAGCAGCATATAATTTTACCCTCTTCATTTTAAAACCTAAAGAAACTGCAGTAACAACTGTATACCAACGCTTTGTGCTTATCTAGCACAGAGGGCGTTGAAGTGCTTTCTGAATATCAATCCTATCCCCTAATACCTTGAGGAGATTATTATGCTCCTTTTAAACATGGAAATATTGAGATGTTAAGTGACTTTCCCAAAACCACACAGCAAGTCAGTGACAAAGCTGAGACTAGAACCCAGAAATCTTGATTCCCCCTGTGCACCCCGGGCAACACTTTGTTCCAGTTTACAGCACCTCCCCGTTCCTCCAGACACAGCATCACAACCTCTTCTCATAACCTAGTATCTGAACATGTCTCTGCAATCAGGGTTTAGTGTGATCTCAGTCAGGATTTGAAGCATTCTCATCCAAGTGCTGGTCTGTCATTAACTAAGGATGGAATTTCATTCATTCATGGTATAAAACAGTGCCTATAATCAGTGACTAAATTTTCTTCACTCCGACTCAAAATTCTCTCTCTCTTTTTTCCTGAAAGCTCTGGGGAGTTGAGTCTGACACACCCCAACCCATTTTAAGCTTTGATAGGAAAACCCCTGCTGCAAACCCGCCCTCTTCAAGGGCTCTTACGGTGATCAAAGACCACAAGCACTTGGCCACTGTGGGGCTGAGTGCAGGCTAGATAGAGATTAGATGGGATCCTACAGGTTTCTCTCACTGATGTCAGGAATATTAATTATAAGAATTTTTCCCCTCTTTTTTTTTTTTTAAAAGCAACTGCATAACTAACTTGTGAGATGTATCCAGCCTGAAGCAGCGTGATACCATCTCCAGGCTAAAACAGTTCTGCAGGGTAATTCACTCTGTGCTCAACTGCTGTGCGGTTCATCTGTCATTTCAAAATATTACCTCTTAAGAAAAGAAAGTCCGATCACCTATTACATGATGAAGATATTGTAGTTGGCAAGAGGAAGGCAAGCCAGCACCTTTCTGCTGAAATACTCAGGTTGGCTGGGGTTGATTAGCCACTATTTACGGTTTTGTTTTCATATCTAGAAGGCAAATTCTGACCCCAGTTTCGCAAGTGGAAAGCTGGAGGAATTCCACTGGAGCCCCTCCAGATTTACACTGTCCGCAGAATTTGACTCTATGAAAGATAATCACATACATGAAATCCATTTGCATTTAATGTCTTTAGGATACCAGGCCCCCAGAAGTACTTCTGGTATCGGATTTGCTTGTAACTAACACGGTTTGCAAAGCATGAGAGAAGTTTAGTTACTCACCCTGTTCTGATCTCCGGCTCACTATGTTCTTAGACTTCACCGATGCCTGCACAGTTTGCTCTCATTATTTATACCATCCCCTGTGTGCTTCAGTGTAATTGGTCTCCCACTCTGTTGGGGCTGCCTGCTGACGTTCATTGCATACTCTGCTGACGACGATGTGCATGTATAGGTTTAAGCCCTCTTGCCACCGGGTTGGTGCTCTGATGAGACAGCACTGGGAAAGGATCTTCTGGGAACACTCGCCTGCCAGCTCATTAGCTGGCAAAGACTCCTTGAGCTCCGCAACGGAAGTTTCCTTGTGTCCATTAGCAGATGGGAGCAGAGTTGTATTGCAAGGCAGTTGTCAACAGTGGCAAAGGACATCTAGTTTAAATCAGAGACTGGTGAAGGAGACAGCTAATTGAATAAGGTTGCTGTAAGGTCCTCTAATGCAAGATCTATCCAGCAGGGTGTGCTTGATTTAACAAACAATTAATAAGACCAAAGTCAGGCCTGCTGCAAGGATGTGAAATTCCCAGTGAAGTCAATGGGAGTTGCACCTGCTTACCCAGAGGCTGCATTTGGGCCAGTGCATGTGTGATATTGGGGTGCACCACAATATGGAAAATCAGGCATTTAGGGCTAAGGAAAGTGTAATAAAAAGAAGTGGCTTAGAACTAGAGATGGATCCAGATGGGAGCCCCAGATCCCAATGCCCCTCCTCACCTGCAGGATTTGGGGGCATTTAAATCCAGATCCTAGCTCACACTAGAGTTGATTGAAAAACCATCCCATAGGAAATTCTGTTATTTTGACATTTGTTTTTGTCCTGAATCAGGTTGAAAATGCAAAATTTGTAATGAAAGACAGTTCAGAAAAATTTAGATTTGAAAATGTCAGAATTGATTCACTTTGGGCTGGTTGATATTAATCTGCACCCACTTGAGATGCTGCAGTGCCTCATGGGAGTTGTAGTTCGGGTGCTTCATGCCCCTATTCTCCCCTATGGGCTGGGCTGGGCTCCCTGGGCAGACTATATCTTCCATGATGCACTGTGTTCTCTTCCTCAGGTAGAGAAGCTGTGCGGGACCATGGGAGATATAGTCCAACCAGGGAGCCCAGTTTTTAGGAGAGAATGGGGGCTTGAGGCACCCAAACTACAACTCCCATGAGGCACCACTGCAGCTTATGTTGATGCACAGATTAATGGCAACCCAACCTGAAACAAAATGTTTTGTTTAGATTTTCCTGATGGAAAAACTGATCTTTGGGGGGCAAAAATTAACATTTTACCCCCAGAAAATTTAAATTTTCTGTCAAAACAAGATTTTTATGGAAAATTCCAGACCAGTTCTACCTCACACTTGGACCCTGCCTGTGAAATGGGCTGAACTGGAATCCCAAACATCTCAGGGTGCATAAGTAACTTCTGAGACACATCCAGCCTGAAGCAGTGTGAATTTGATGGCCTGGGTTCATCTGTTTCATGCTTGTCTAAATGAGAGACAGCCAGGATGGCACATTGGCCTAAACATGTAAATAAGCCAATAATAATCACTCCATTCTAAAGGACCCCAAGGCACTTTACTGGCAAACTACTATACAAACCACTGAGAAACATCCCTTCATCCAGCTGTATGCTGGCCCATGGCATCAGCTGCATCAGCTGTCCAATGGTGTATGACATCAGTACACACCAGTTCAGGACAGGATGTGACTGAGATTACTGTATCCAGCTGATACTGCAGGGGGAATATAAATGGGAAGAATAAAATTAAAATTCCTTGGCTGGAATTCAGCTTGGACTCCAGCATCACCAGCTCAGCTCCCACACAGAATGCCCTGGGGTCTTTAATGACCACAATCAGCCAAGGCACTGGGTTTACTTCTTGTCCAAAAGGTGATACTTCCAGCAATGAGCACCCCTTCGCACCATACTAGTGGAGGGATTGATTCAGAGCAAAGTATGACACCTACCATATCACCCACACCGTTTCTTGTAGCAACCTGAGCCCAGAGCTACAAAATATTTAGGGTCCTAACTTCCACTGATTTCAACTGAAGTTATGTGCCTGAATATCTTTGAGGACCTGGGCCTTGGTGACCTGAGAGGATCTCCCATACAAATACTCAACCAGGCCCAGCCTTGCTTAGTTTGGGGTGCCTCAGAGGATCCCTTACAAGGTGGTGCCTCTGGAGGCCATTGTGTCTTGTCCTGTTCTCATAAGATGGGACAACCTAAAAGGTACTTTCACATTCTCACTCCTGATCTTCAATCAAGTTCCCTCTAACTTCTCTCCTTTCAACCCTAAACAAGTGAGTATTTGTTTAGTATCTCCAGGCCTCTAGCCATCTTGGATGCCCTTCTCTGGACCTCCCCATTCATGCCGGGATCTTTGTTAAGGTGAGGGCATGAAAACTGGGCTTGGCACCCCAATGAGAGTGCTCCGTCACTGGCTGGAATGCTCCTGTAAGCGCATCCTGTATCACTGCATCTCAACACAATGTGGAAAGCAGCTGGGCATTTTCCAGCCCAAGTGACATCCAGCAGCTTGAAGCTCTTTGTCTAATAGGGAAAGCGTAACCTTGCCAATGCGTGAGGTTAAACTCATCTTGTGAACGGACAGGCAAACACAATGTTTGTAAATTAACTTATTTCTGAGACACCAGAAGGTTTGGGAGGTTTCATCCTCTTTTTATTACTACATTGATTTCCTCTTGCAGCCCTGCTGACCCTGGGTTAAAAAGCCTGATAAGCAATTTGCTTTGGATCCTTTTGCCTTTGTTAGCTCATCAATGCCTCCTTCGTTCCCTGCCTGTTGATATGACGATTGCAAGGGAACGCTCAATACCAAATACGAAGATGCCACATTTATATCAGGCGCCTCATCCCAAAGGGGCACAAACCGAATGCCCAAAAATGCAGCCTGCATTGCTTCATCTCCCATGCAGTTGCAGTAACCTCTAGGGTGGAATACAGTTAATTAACAACACCCCACAGCATCACACTACCATTCAGCACCAGACACGATACACCCCTTATGTAGCTGAAACTGCAGTGGGCAGCATGTCATTCCCAAAGCTGGACGGTAGCCAGGATATCAGCTAACAGTCCTGCTGTCTGAAAAGTGCCCAGGGATCTCGATGGGCACCATTATCAGAACTTACATCTGTAGCAAGCTGGAGAGGGACCTTCCCTAAAGGGAAAGGGGGAATGGCCTCTCTGCTGGGAGTGCCACAAAGATGCTGGCTACTCCCTAATGTGGCTGTGGTTTATGAGAAGTGGGATGAATAACCTGTCACACAAGGCACTAGACAGCTTTCAGCTGCTGCAGACTGCAGTATCTTTAAACATTAAATGTACAGCTCCACTTACTACCCAACTCTCCTTTCATTGCTCCTCTCTAGTGAGGTCTGGGGGAGAGGCAGGAAGTGAGCAGAAAGAAACCAGCTCTGACACCGACTTGCTTGTGATCATATGTAAGTTACTTTACATCCCTGCCTCTGTTTCCCTTTCTTCAAAATCAGCTAATAACAATTCCTGATTTCACAGTCACTTGATGTGAAATGAAAAAAAGTGGCTAATAGCACAATCCCCCTGGACTATGAAAAGTGCTATATAAATGCTGATGGGGTGTGTGTGTGTGTGTGTGTTTTGCTGGTGCTTACAAAACAACTCAGGCAAGCAACTCCAAAACCTGAAGGAGAATTGCAGAGGAAAGCATCAGGACCAGAATATCACTAGATATTTGAACTGGAAGGAAATGAAGAAGGTGCTTTCATTCCCAGCTGCTGCCTCGACTCTCTGATTTCCTTTCAGAAGAATTGGGAATGCTTTTTAGTCCAAGATGAAAGATCCCTCCCGACGATAATGGTGGCACGTACAGAAGGGACTAATGCTGCAAAGCCAAAGCCCATGCTAGGGTAGGAAAAGACACTCCTTCGGGCACTAAAGCCTTCTGTCATTGCTGGCAACTTCAAGCCAGCGCGCAGATGGGGGTGGCAGAATCTGACAGCGCATTGGCCAAGTGGAACAACAGGCTGGTTCTGATGTCACAGTGCTCAATGTGTGAAAATATCCTGCTGTCTCCACAGGGATCTGCTTGAACTTCAGAATAACTCCATTTGGAGAAGCGCTGGCATCACCCTAGAAGAGGAAACTTAAGCCTTATCTTTGGTGATGGTAATTCCCTGCAACCTCTGACCCTCAGGGGAAAAACAAGCCTTCCTGAGGGCTGTGATAGCACCTGGCAGGCCCATTTTGATGAGCTGGTAGAGCAAGATGCTGTCCTGTACAGATTCATGAATTAATTCTCTGTTAGAGATGTCCAAGTGGAGGGAGCCTCCTGATTCATGCAGTGATAAGCATTCACACTAAACTCATACTCCAGGGCATAAATTAGTTGCTGGAAAGGTCAGGAAGGAAGACTTTCCTCTTGCATACAGCAATAAACATTGTACAGGTGCATATGGAGGGCTGTAGTTTGCCTTTCTCAGACGTAGGCCATTGCCAGAGGCAGGAGATCAGACATGATCAAGTGGCCTGATCTGGTATGATGAGCAACTTTGCACCCTACAGTAAGAACTCACCAGGATCCTCATACATATCATAGTAACATCTAGGGGTCTCAACCAAGAGACAGGCCCTGCTCCAAACAGCTTAGACTCTAAATAGACAAGAGAGAGGGAATATTGTGATTCCTATTTTGCAGCTGGAGAACTGAGGCAGTATGGGTTTGGTCCAGTTTCACTGATCTCAGTAAGAATCTTATCATTAATCGCAGCGTGCTTTGGATCCAGCCTTAGGTGATTTAGTCAAGATCACGCTGGGAGTGTGTGGCAAAGCTGGGAACTGAGCCTAGATCCCCCGAGTCCCACTCCAGTGCCTTAACCAGAGCCCATAATGTCTGTTCCTTCTCTCACATTGTCAGGCTTGGATCTACTGAGGTCACTCGAGTCCCACCAAAGAAGCATTTGGCCCAGTATGTTTTAAAAGCAAATGTTCTTATGTATGTTACTAACAGTCCCTCAAATTATTACAGACAAACATTGCAGTCAGTGAATATACTTAGTACCATGGATGGATTGGGCTATTTTTGGCATTTCACTTGGTTTAGAGAATGACACTAGACTAGTGAGTTTCACATTTGTTTCTAATCAGTGTCAGGTTCTGGTTCTCATGCA